ACTATCACCGCCTTTCAACCATTAACGTCATAGTTAGCGGCACCGTATTCCATTTTCTCACTATTGCCAATGGAGCTTGACTATTAGAGATGAATAAGAGCTAAAAATGTCCATGAAATTTGTTTGACAACCTAGTTCTATGACGTTTTGGGCCATGGATGGCACTTGGCAGTCTTTCGGACCAATATTTCTGACTAGCTATTCTGTTATGGGTCAACTTCATTTTTACTATTTTCGACGTCCGCCCAACATCCATCTTCTTCTACAAAAAAAGTTTTTTTCTCTATTAAAATCACCATTGCCACCAACTTATCACTACCACTGTCATAACAGTCACCACTACTACCATTAGTTTTTAGAGCAAAACCCACAAACACTATAGCCCCCTTCTTCACACCCACTCAATAAAAGAAATTAGATTTTTGAAGTCAAAGAAAGAATCAGCAGATCTGGAAACAAATGGAGAAACCAGTCATTAGCAGATCTGAAAACGTTAAAACTTGGAGGAGATGACTAATAATTTAGAACTTGGATCTAGCTCTAAAATTATTTTTGTGTTTAGAGTTTAATCACTGGAGAAGACAAAGTAGGTGTCCAAGGGAAGAAGAAAACGGGTGGGGTGGTGGGTTGTGGAAAAGGGACCAAATTCTTTGGAGATGAAATAACTAAAAATAGAAAAAAGTAGAATTGACTCAAAAAACAAATTTAAAAGTAAACAAGACTAGACATATGGCATTTAAATAATGCTTTAGACCCAAATATTTTACATTAACTCGCTTCTTTTACGAGTAGAACACGCGCATGTCAGCTGTCAAATGTGGGTGTCTTATATACATTTTTTAAAGGTTGAGTGTGTAATATAATTTTTATTGTCAGAAAGTGTGTAATAAAGATTTGGTCCATAATTCANATATATATATATATAAAGAAAATACTAAATATTTATAAATATTTATTGAGAGCTTATAAATTAAGGATTCACCTCTACTACAAGTAGCTCATTCTAATCTTAGTTTCAATTCTAAAATATGAACCCAATTCTATTTGTTATCCGCTATATACAGTGCACATGGTATGTTCCCTATTTGAACAATTTAAAACTTTATATAATACTCTTTCAATCAATGTACAACTATTATTCAATTTAAGAAAAGAAAGAAAAAGAAAAAAGTATGGACGGCTACAGGCCAGAGGTTGGTCAAAATAGCATGTATTACCCAATTTTTATACCAATAATTAAAAAATAGTCATTGTTTTGCTGAAACACGAAAAGTTCGAGCATAATATGCTAAATTATGGAGCTCCTGCGTATAAACTTCCAGCATAATATGCTGGAAGCTCATATGTAAAAAATTCGAACTCCAGCATATTATGCTGGAATATTTCCGGATATTTAAAAGTGCTTTGTTCATATTTTATTTTTACATGAAAAATGACTAAATTTTGATTATTTTTAAAGCTTTTACTATTTTTAAATTACTAGTTGTAAATCTGGCTATTTTAGAATTTCACCCGGAGGTTGTGGCCCGTTACAACCATTCAAAAATGGGCTTTCACACTTACCTTTATACTTTGGACATATATTTTATTCGAATTAAAGTTGAAATTTTGTGAGTGAAAGAAATATTTTATCCAAAATATGCTATAAATTAATTTTTGGGAACTTAGAAATTGTTTGAATTTTTTCTTAAAATATGATCATATTTCATAAACAAACAATATTTTAATTTTTTTTTTAAAAAGTGAAGCCAAAATCTATGGCCGAACGAGAGTTAAGAATCTCGATAATCATAATGCTAAATAAAACTATTAAACAAGACAAACTTGTCCATCAAGAAGTTAGTATCGAGTGACTTTTAAGCCTATTCCATGCTCTAATTACAAAACACATGTTTGTTGAGCATATTAAAAAACGTGTTGTATGATTTGATTCTTGGATTTTTCTTTTTGGGGGGTTGGTACTTCATATCTAGTTGATTTTTCATTCTTTTTTTTGGAGGTTGGTATTTCATTAATTTTCACTCGATCGATCCAGCACTTGCAGTATTTTTGTTGATGTGGAAATTGCCGAAAGACCAGTGTTGATTTAAAAGAGGAAAGTTTTATTAATGAGAGTATCTATAAGATAATAACCGTTAGTGACTGATGTGATTTTTCGAGTTAACAAAAAACCAACCGACCAGGATCAAGATCTTGAAATGAAAATATAGTTTGTGGGTTGATTTCAAGAAACAACGTATCTCAAGTTTTAGGACTCGAAATCTAATGATTCAAAAACGAGGTGAAAGATGACAATCTGAATTACAAGAAAGATTATTTATTCGTTCAAAAAAAGTAAATATTGATATTGTACCGGTTCAAAGAAAGTTATGATTCTATGATATAAAAAAATGAATTTAGATCAAGAAACGTATTCTTGAATGATCAAGAACTATAAAATTCCTAAAGTCATCACTTGGAATCAATTAACGTGATAAAGAAACACCACACGCAATTGAAAATAAGATAAAGACTATCACCGCCTTGCTTGGAACCAAAAATAAGGATAAAAAAGATAAAATAGAGAAAAATACTCTATTGTAAAATTAGGGCAACCTAAAAAAACGTGAATTTTTATTCTACAAGGCAAGAGAACATTTTATATATGCCTAGAGTCTCTTCTTTGATGACTACAATTCCTATTCTAATAAGGAAATAAAATAACTAAAGACAATGAAAGTAAAATCCCTATTCTACAAGGAAAAGAAACTAGAATCCTACTAAAAGAAAAATTCGTATTCTAAAAGAAATAAACTAAATCCTATTTTAAGAAGGGAAATGGTCTTGGCCTCTTGAAATCAATCTTGGGCTTCTTGGATTTCTTGAAAATAAGTCTATATATTTGAACTTGAGCTCTAAAACATGATCTTGGCCAAAATTAATAAAATTTAACGTAGATTCTTCTTTTACATCAGTGACCTTACTAGTCAATACTACAAGCAGAGCTGGTCATGTATATATCTATACTTATCTATATTTATATCTATATCTATACTATATTAAAAGTACGAAAGCCCTTTAAAAACAGATTCTATGTTGGACAAAATTATAATTTTAAATTATTTTTCTAATGTGTAGGACTTTAAAATAAACTAAAATTTTAATTATTAAATCTTTCTTTATTTGAACTATGTAGAAACTCCTAATATTTAGGAATTAAAAAATTAACTAAAATTATACTCATATATTTCCTTATTTGAATTGGCACAAAGACTAGAAATCAAAGGTTCAATGTTTTGAAACAAACTTTAGGTAACGAGTTTTTCTTTATTCATGCTTAGTATTTTCGTAAACAGAATAAAATGCAAACCCAATCATTTTCCAACGCCAAAGGCCACTTTGCTATATGATTAAACATTTTTTTCTTCTTAATAATTTTGAGACTGAGGAAATTTTTTGTGCAACACAAATATGGTATATTCTCTTTTTATGTACGTGTTTTGCATTAGAGATTTTTTTATTCATGAAAACGCTTCAACCAAAAAAAAGGAGTTTGAAAACTTTCAAAAGAAATACTTACTAACAAAACAAAATATTCCGGAAAAAGAAATCTTTGAAAAATTTGGCAAACCTCCACTCATGTTTTATGACCCTATGTAATCATGTTTGGAATTTGTTTTTACCCTTTATTAATTAAATACTACTATATATCTATCTTTTTATGTATTTATTATTATAAAAGTATGAAATTCCTTAGGAAAATATTGTTCGCCTATTTTACCTTTTTAAAAATTAATTTCATACTAAAAAATAATTCTTTAATTATTTATCTAATATTTAGGACTTTAAAATCAGTTAAAATTATACAAATTAAAAGTTTCCTTCTTTGAAGTGCCAAGTAGGAAATTTTATATTTAGGATTAGAAAGATATTTAGGATTTTACAATTAAACTCTTACAATATGAAAAATTTCTTTCATTGTTTGGAGTTTGAACTATATATAAGACTTTAAAAACTTTACCTTAAATGATTGTTACTTGTCTGAAGTTTGAACTATATACGACTTTAAGGGCTAAAGTGAGAATTGCAATTTTATGGTGAAATTGGCTAGATCGTCTTTTCTATGGTTACTGTAAATTTACATGTTTTTTTACTAATTATTATCAATAATAAAAGTAATTTAGATGAAAGGAAATGATTTGCTCTTTTATCAAACACAGATGAAAATAAATTGGTTCAAATTTACTTTCTTTCTCCACTTCTCCATATTCTTTTGAACATCTATGCTAGAAATAGATTTCTGATAGACTTTTTTTTAAATTTTTTTTTATCTTATTATCTTTTAAAAAAGATTATATTACAAAACTATAATATTATTATTTTTATAATGTTTAGGATTCTAAAATTACCTAATTTATTGCAATGTTCTAATATTCAGGACTTTAACTATTTCCTCTGATGTTGAAACTAATTAAGTCTTCGAATAACTATTTAGAAAAATAAATTCAATTTAATTATTTTCACATTTATTATAAAATTAAAGTTATTTTTAAGTTGAGGTACACGCACAAAGCGCGTATCATGAGACTAATATGAAAAAATATTTAATTGAGAGCTTATTCATTATTGTATATTAACTTGAGAATAAATAGAAACCTATAAACTATAAATTATTGATTCGCCTCTACTACAAATAGCTCATTGTAATCTTAGTTTCAAATCTAAAAATATGAACCCAGTTCTATTTGTTATCCATTATATACAGTGCACATGGTATGCTCCCTATTTGAAAATTTTAAAACTTTATATAATATTCTTTCAATTAATGTACAGCTATTATTCAATTTAAGAAAAGAAAGAAAAAGAAAAAAGTATGGACGGGTACAGGCCAGAGGTTGTGGCTTACCTTACCTTTATACTTCTCATTTGGGCCTGGGCCTTCTTCTATTACGTTTGGGCTTCCCTAATTCAGTTGCGCTTCTAATCCACAAATAAAAAGGAGTTCGATTTTATCTCTTAGTACCGGAAAATGGAAGACTAATCTAAGGGGTGTTGGAAGAGTTAATGGATTATTTGTTTTTAACGTCTCATCTCAGTTTGAGGAGGTAATTTATACTTGTGTTTTCATGTTACAGATTCTTCATGTTCTAATTACCATAAAGTTTAATTCTTGATTAGTAATTAGTTCATAAGTCATTTTTTAACTGGATGTATGAGTAAATTGATGTTCTTTTGTGTTGTTGAAACCATGAAAGCTCAATCAGTACATACCCAGATAGAAAACCAGGAAGTGCAGTTCCTGAATTTGTAAAATTGCATAAAGGTCCTTCAAAATCCAGATATTTACCACAGAGGTATTGTATGGCCACTACAAATAGGGAGGAGTTGAACGGGATAGAAGAAGGCGATGGTGTTATAATTGTGGATCATGGGTCCCGCAGAAAAGAGTCTAATCTTATGCTAAGTTAGTTTCTGGCATCCTTCATATTTATTTATTTTTTCAATTTTGTTGCTGGTTTGTTGTGAGTTGCTTATAGTTGTAGTTTTGATGATAAATTGTCAGATGAATTTGTAGCAATGTTTAGGCAGAGAACCAAATACCCCATTGTGGAGCCTGCACACATGGTAATAATGTTTTTATGATTTATCCCTCCCTCTTTGTATGATTACCGTTTTCGAGCTTGCTGTTCGTTGATTGTTTCATTCCTGATGCCTTAGCTTTTTTGTCTTTGTTTTACAGTCTGTTTGTTTGGAATTAGAAAATGGACGACGAAAGAAAAATGTAATGGAAAAGGATAAAAATGTGGAGTCTTGAAGTATGTTTTGATGTTAAGAGCAAAGGCCTAAAATCAAAAGTATACAAAAAATAATACGTAGAATTTATATTACAGAAAAGCAAAGACAAATTATGTTTGGATGTTAAGAGAAAAGGCAAAGGAAAATGAAAATCAAAAGTATATCTTTTCAGAAAAAAATAATACTAGAATTTATATCACAGAAAGGCAAAGACAAGTATGTTAGGATGTTAAGAGCAAAGGCAAAGAAAAATATAAAATCAAAAGTATATCTTTTTTGAGAAACAAAAATGATATCAAATCTATGTAAAAGAAAATTTTAGAATATATCTCGTGCGAAAACCTAGGAAATCAATGATTTTTGGGATTGGAAGTATAGAGGGATCTCTTTAGGGTTGGTGAAGAAGTGGTGATAGGAGTAAGATTGTGGTAGGAATAAGAGAATCCTAATGTTTTCCCTAGCCACATAGTACAAAACTATAGATTTCTAATGAATTTATTTTCTTTTCCTTGATGAATACTTAGTCCCAAACACAGCCTTAAGCTCTCCATTCTCCTTTCTGTTTTATCTTCTTGAAAGGTTGGAACTCTCATGTTTCCTCTTTATCTCTTTTATGACAAATTAGGAGCTAGCAGAACCATCGATCAGAGATGCATTTAATTTGTGTGTTCAACGAGGAGCACGTCGAGTAATTGTGAGCCCGTTTTTCCTTTCTCCTGGACGACACTGGAACCAGGTATTGTTCACCTCATGTATTCTAAAGTTGTGCTAGGTTATCTAGAATTTCCTTTGATGTATTATGCTAGGTCTTGACCTGATACCTTTCCCTTTTCAGGATATTCCTTCTTTAACGGCTGAAGCTGCAAAAGAACACCCAGGAGTATCATATATCATTACAGCACCTCTTGGCCTTCATGAGTTACTTGTCGTAAGTTCTTGTTCTTCTTCTCTAGCTTTACTTTCTCAGCATTTATTCTGTTCATTTACATATGGCATCCAACACATATTGAAACCTAAGGTTATTCCTACTCCCTATTTTGCATTTAAGCTGGTTAGGTCAACCAATATTTGCACCTATAATTGGTACATATTGCAGTTCTTGCCTAACTAGGGGTTTCTTATTTTAATTGGTTAGTAGTTGCCTTTTCTTTCCTAGTCTACTGGCACTTGTATTAGGATTCTTTTTTAATGAATGTTTTGTTCGATCTGAGTTATCATTCTGCTTTCGTTTGTGACAATGGCTCCATCCTATTTAAATCCTAACACTTTTGTTACTCAAGTAACTAGCAAACTTTTGTGTTATGGGGAGACCATAATGGTCAGATATTTATACATTGACATCATTCCATACTAAAGCTGTAGGCTGAATTTTTAGTCCTAGAAGGTTGATTTAGGCCTCATTTTTTTTTTTAAAGATTAAGACGTTTGAATAATACATATCTGAATATCAAGATGTGCATTAAGATTAAGACATCTGAATATTAAGATGTGTATTATGATCTGAATACTAAATAACTAAGATTGTTTGTCTTTTTAACATCTGTTATTTAATATATATATATATATATATATATATATATATATATATATATAT